TTCGATTTCAGATTGAATAGAGTTCCCAATTTCAGGTTGAAGCAGATTTGATTCACGTCTCAGGTCTTGAAGAGCAGGATCTAGTTCTTGACTGGGATTTTCCGAAGTCACTGGCTCATCCTCTTGTTGGATAGCTTCAGGAGGAACAGCGAGATGTCGCACCGATACCAGAGCCTCTCTACCATCTCTATACTTGATGCGAGCATAGTCTGGATTAGCCTCTATCAGCTGAGCTTGTTCCACTAAAGGTTCATATTTGTTATTTCTTACATGCCTTCTCACTAATACTGGTCCTGGATTCATGAGCCATTGAGGTTGAGAGGTGCCATAAAATGATCGTCTCTGGTGTTTGAAAAGTCGTTCATGTGGGGTCTCATTCGTAGCTGTACATAGTAACGAGCGTATACAATGCAAAGCTTCTGGCAAAACATACTCCCACTGTTCTGTCTTCAGTCCCTTGTTTCTTAGAACAAGAGATACAGTCTTCCAAATCGTTCCATTATATCGCTCAGCTTGAGAATTACCTCGAGGGTTATAAGGTGAAGATCGGCTAGTGGCGATTCCTTTAGAGTGTAAGAAATCACTCAGTTCTTTTGACATGAAAGCAGAACCTTGGTCGGAGTGGACAAAAGCAGGCATACCAAAGATGGTGAAGATTGATGTAAGTGCTTTGATAACAGAAGATGCTGATGTGTCCGAGCAAGGAATGGCAAACGGATATCTTGAAAACTCATCAACAACCGTGAGTATGTATTTATTCCTTGTCACAGATGGTATTGGCCCTTTAAAATCAATGTTAAGTCTCTCGAAAGGAGCCATTGCATGGATGAGTGTTGATGGGGTTTTTTGGTAGAACCGAGGTTTCACTTCCGCACAAACAGAGCATGAAGCGGTCATTCGCCTGACGTCTTCGATAGAGTAAGGGAGATTTTTACTTTTTAAGAAATGAACCATCCGTACTATTCCAGGATGCCCAATGTCACAATGAATTCTACGGAGTTTTTCGAAATCTCTACAAGAGATGGAAGATGAAACTCGTGAAAATGCATCTGCTACTACGTTTTCCTTGCCAGAACGGTACACTATGTCATAAGAGAAAGGTGCTAGTTCCAATCGCCACTTTAAAATCTTGTTGTTCTTAACCTTTCCCGCGTGTTTCTGATTGAACATATATGACACAGATTTCTGGTCTGTAATTAATTTAAACCGTCTTCCAATCAGGAAATGCCTCCATTTCTGTATTGAATCGAATATTGCGAGGGCCTCTTTTTCCACAGCAGGTAGATGTTGTTCACTCTTAGTTAGGGTTCTTGAAAAGAAACATATTGGCCTTCCAGCTTGTGAAAGGGTAGCCGCTATAGCTGATTCAGATGCATCTGTTTCTACAGTAAATGGAATATTCTCTTCAACTGCAGACATACTGGAGTTCGCTATTTCTTCTTTTAATGTCTTAAAGGCCAATATTTCTTTACTGCCTACTGGGAATGATTTGACTGTAGTAAGGCAATGAACCTTTTCAGAGAATTTAGGAATCCACTTTGCGTAATAGGACAACATGCCAAGAGCTCTTTTAAGGCTTGCATTATCAGTTGGAACGGGGAAATTCAAGAGTGATTGCAGGCGGTCAGGATCAGGACGCATGGACATGTTTTCTACAATGTACCCCAGAACTGGAATGCTGGTCAACGAAAACTTAGATTTTTCTTTGTTCAGGGTAAGATTATACTTTTTAGTTGCTTCCATGAATCTCTGTAGGTTTTGATCGTGTTCTGCTTGGCTACGACCACAAATAGTTACATCGTCCAGATAAGCAAACGTGTCTAGTAGATTTTCATTTTCTATAATCTGATCAATAGTTCTTTGAAAACACGCCACACCATTAGTTACGCCGAAAGGAATTCGAGTGTATTGGTAAAGTCTCCCATTAGCTTCAAATGCAGTGAATGGTTTATCTTCATTCCGAATAGGTATTTGGTGATATGCCTCCTTCAGATCGATTGTACTGAACACTTTGTATTGAGCAAGCTTAGAGACAAATGATTCAATGTGAGGTAGAGGGTAGGCATCAAGCTGTGTGAATTTGTTGATGGTTTGAGAGTAGTCAATACAGAGACGTCTCTTGTGCCCATTGTTGACCACAATCACTTGTGCTCTCCAAGGTGATTTACTCGGTTCAATTATTCCTTCTGATATAAGCCTACTTACTTCACTTTTTATGAACTTACTATCATCTTCAGAGTAGCGGCGGGACTTGATGGCTACAGGCTTGACGTCATTAGTTAGATTATCAAACAGTGGTGGTGGTGATACTTTAGCCCTAAGTAGATTGCAAACATTGAAGGGTGGGCGTTTACCACCGAAATTCAGCTCCACAGCAGAATGTTGCCGAAGGATGTCATGTCCAATTACAACATCGGCACATAAATCAGTTAAGATGAGCAGCTTTGTCAGTGGGTATTCGTGGCCATCGCACACCATGTCAACAGTACAGTGGCCAAGAGTTGATGAAACATGACTTGTTGATGCCATCGATATTTCATGCTTTGTTGGGTATTTAAAAATATTGAATCTTTTCACAGTAGCTTCAGATATAAAACTGTCGGAACTCCCAGTATCAATGAGTGCATCTACTGGTTTGCCGTTTAACATCAGTGACACTGTAGCTTTTGAAAGACATTTTTGTGAGGCAGCAACAAGAGAAGAAGACATTGAGTTTATTTTTGTCTTATCACTTTGAGTTGTTTTACCCTTAAATGTCCTACTTTGGTTGCGAGAATTGCAAACTGTTGCCCAATGGCCTTTCTTGTCACAAATGTTACAAACTGAGTCTTTGGCAGGACAGTTGGCTCGAGAGTGTCGTGACCGTCCACAAAAGAAACATTTTTCTCTTCTTATCGAGGATAATTGGTGTGAAGACGAATCAGAAGCTGCCTGAGAAACATTTGTATCAGTAACATCAACATCTTTAGGAGTTGACTGAGATATAGAGTTACAAGGGCTTGAAATATATGAAACCGCCTGATTTTCAGCTGATTCCAAGGTAATGGCTTGATTATAAGCTTCTTCAAGAGTCAAAGTTAGATTTTCAAGAAGTCTTTGTCGAATGGACTGTGATATTAGTCCTCGAATGAAAGCGTCTCTTATGTACTCGTTGCGATTTTCATTAGCAGTGACAGATTTAAAGTTGCATGCTTTACTAAGTTCTTTTAGTTTTCGAAGATACTGATCAATATTTTCTCCAGGTTCCTGTCTTCTAGTGGCCAGTTGATGACGTGAATATACCTCATTAGTAGGCTTTATAAAGAGTTTGTCAAGAATAGATATAGCTTCAGTATAAGAATCAGCCTCTGAGATTATTTCATGTATGTTGTAGTCCACAAAATTAGTTAGAAGTTTTAGTAGATCATCTTCTGCAGCACATATTTCTTCCACAAAATTCTTGAAAGTGGTTTTCCAATGTTTCCACTGACGATCAGAATGGGGATCATTAGGGTCTAAAGATAGGCGCTCCGGCTTGAAGAATTTATCCATTTAGATTTCTTGGAATAAACTTGAATAGAAAAGATAGAATACAACTTGTATAGAAGAACTTGTAATAATATAGTTAAAAGATTAAGTTGAATAAATTGTTATGAAAAGAAATGTTTAGAAACCAAATTTATATGGTTTTATTCAACTTAATAGTCAGCTACATTTTACATGAGAGAATTGCACAAAACTGTAAACATTACATACATAAACAAAACAGTCTTAAATAAAACAGCTGAATAAATATTTGACAGTACAAAAGGAATCATATTACATAACAAGTATCATCAGCAAATAGATGCAACTTTGAATTTGACACTACAGGAGGCAGATCATTGATAAACATTAAGAAAAGGACGGGCCCAAGAACGGTCCTCTGTGGCATCCTCTATGAGAGTATTTATTTATTTATTTACGGTTACACAATTTTTCAGAGTTGATATGCTGATATATTTTTGCTCTAAGAAGACTCTGTGGTGTCGTCTCGCAAAATGTAGTTAGAACAGCTTACTTTGGTTTATTTCATGCTAAGATTACTTATGGTTTGATTGTCTGGGGCAGTGCCTCAGCATCAAAAGATGTTTTTATCCTACAAAATCGTGCCGTTCGAATCATTGCAGGAGTTCATTATAAAACTCACTATGTAAACCATGGTTTGTTCATTTAAAAATTTTAGAAAATTCTAAAAATTTTAACTCTTTATTCTGCAAAACTTGCTATTCATTAAAGATCAACCAGATTTGGTGCATAATAATGACGTGCACCATTAGAGGTGGCTGTGCGTGCACTCTTACAACACTAGAATAAGACATGACTTACAATTGCCTTATGTTAGATTAAGTAAATCAATGAAAAAGCCATCTGTACTAGCCATAAGGTTATTTAATAAGCTACCCCTTGCTATTAGGGACATGTACATTATTAAATTTATTAAAACTGCTGTAATCAGGTTCTTAAGTGCATTCTACTCAATTGATGAATATTTTACAAAAAATTGACTTGCAATGATTTTGTGTAAGATGTGTGAGCCCTTTGTTCAATTTATTATTGTATAGATTATATATTGTAACCTGAGATATCCAATGTATTCAAAAGAATATCTAATGGAAATAAAGATCTTATCTTATCTTATTAATACAAATACAATATTGAAAAATTGAAAGTTAATTAACAAAAATTAATAACGAATGCAAGTGAAATGTTGAATGATATGAAAGGAGCATAACTACTTGCCTAATTAAATTAGCATCCCTTCTGCCTTTTCTCATGCTCTTTTACTTTAATTTGTTATTTTGCAGAATTTATTGAAAGGCAGATAGGGACTAACATCACATGCTATTTAATCAATGATAATATTTGAACCAAGCTGAGTACAGTTTCATGACTTTTCGTTCAACTTGCGTATCAACAATATAAAGTGGGAAAGGAAACCCCGAACCGAATACGTCTGCTTCTGTCACATTCACATTCCAAATTAGAGAAAAAATAAATAACTTAAGTTAGGTAGTGTAAACAAAATTACAGTGAGATTTGAGATTACAGTACAGTAGCAGTAGCTAGGCTAACTTTAAACTTGACTGGTATTAAATTTGCTTCAGTGTCTTCCTAGCTTCAGTTAAATAGGAACTATAACTTAGTTTATCTTTCCTTGTTGATATTCTATTTAGGCCTAGATTGTTCTGCAGTTCACTGGGAAGCTCATGCATGTTACATAACAATAAGCTTTTCTGAAATCATCAAATCAGCTTGAAATTTTAGGTCATGTCAGGGGAAAACATGGAAAGTATCATAAATGATCTTTTTGATTGTGAGTTTTATGACTGTGAATATAATCATCTGAAAGGTAAGTTAGTCACTTTATACAGACTATTTTAAAATTTAAAATTCCCTCATAATTTTATTAGGCTATTCTTATGGATCAGCTAAAGCATAGCCTCCTCTAATACAAGGCTGCGGCTAGACAAAAGTCGCAACACCGCTGTCTCGTCAAGCCAATACAGCTGTTGTACTAATTTATAATGGACAGTAACTTAATAGGAAATGTTTATCTTTAAACACTTTTGTTAACTTATTTCTGTTGTTACCATGGCAACAGGCATGACATTGTGATGTTGCCACACACCAATGCCGCAGCTTTGTGTTAGAGGATGCTATGGCTAAAGAGAATAACTTTTAAGGTTAGTTTCACTTTGTATGTAGAGGGCGTTTTTTGTTTATAATTCCTTGTTTAACCTATAACTTTTGTTTATAATCCTAAGCCTATTATTTAAATTTGTTTTAAAAACAATTTCAATGTCAAAAAGAAGGACTGAATTACAGTTTAAACAATAGCTGGTATTGCTGAATAGTAAAGCAAACTTTGTAAAATCTACCCTGAATGAGAAACTTTCAGTTGATATCAGTGCCTTTTAAACTTAACTTACACGTTACCAAAATGAAATCCATAGAATCGAGCTTCAGATTTCACAATCGGAGAAAACTTACTTGCACTAATCAAAGCTCATTCTGCAACTATAGGTCGTCTGCTTAGAAAAGAACCTGAGCATTAGCGTGCAAGTTCTTTTCTAAGTGGTCGACCTATAGGCCTAACATACCTGGACTCCAGGTCCGCGATCGAGGAGGGCCCCCGGCCCAAGGGGGCTCCAAAGGGGCTCTTATCACTTACAAAAAATGTTGATGTCTTGTTAGAAGCTATATTATGTTTTTAGTAATGTTTTATTTGCATTTTCCAAAGTACAACAACTGTGTCCAGTGACTCTTTATATACCTATTGCAAATTAAAAAGCCTACTCTAATATGATCAATGTTTGCTTGTACAATATTTATAATAGGAGTTATTACAAACCTGCATAATGCATTTTGATGTCTGCTCTGTTTAAAATAAAAATTCCAAAGGACATGTGGGGTGTTTATAATATAAACGTTTTAATCATAATAAGTTTACAACTAAGGAACATCTTCCAATAGGCAAATAATCTTCATGACTATTATTTAAATCTATATGGATTTCTTTAAATATAGGCCTAGACAAATTCACTTAGAAAAATACATAGAGATCATGTCATCATCCAAATTGTAAAATGCTAATTCTATAACAAAATCTCTCTGAAAACAACATTTGTTGTACAGTATAGTACGGTATCCATTTTGGTCGATTCATTGGCCTTTATTTGGTTGTAGTACCTACTATTTTAACATCATCTGGCCACTTTACCCGACTAAGAGTAATAAAAAGTTGACCATGGGTAAACACTGGGTTTTTCAAATAAATGCCAACTTTTGTGAAGGTTCGGCCTTGCGCCACAATTTCACCAAATAAAATTACGCAATGCACTACAATGAATGCACCCATCGTTCATTGGTCCTACGCTGTGCAATGCAGGGTTGCCACCCGTCCCGATTCTGCCCGGACAGTCCCGATTTTGGTTCCTTATGCCCGTATTTAAGCCTATGTTAATCCGGAAGGGAGGAGGCAATGTACAGATTTTTCCCTGACCTAAGGTGGCAACCCTGGTGTAATGCAATCTCATTTAAAAGTGGTAATCTATACACATGAATAATTTAATGTTCATCCGATGCTCATTTGTTCTTCTTCCGTTAATATTGTGCCAAATCAGACGTCTGTTGTTCTCATTTCGAGGAACAACCTCTGCGTGGCGGCCTACCTCTGCATGGTGGTCTTCCGACATTATACATTATTATTGCAAAAGAACAATCCATTGTAAAGTATTAAGTTTAAAAGTGTCAATTTGTTTGTTCAAAATATTTTATCTAATTTTCACTTTGTGTTGTTTAGGCTACTAATCCACTAGGCCTAACAATTTTACAATAACAAAATAATGCACATTCAGGTGTGGTTTTGTTTTTTTCAATTGATATAATCACAGCTGTGTTAACCCTAAATAAAAATACCCCCGCCGCAGCAAACCTGCAGACTTAGCGAATTTCCATCTGCCTGATTAGATTTAAACTAAATTGTCTCCTTAAAAATATCACATTTATTCCCTATTTAAACAGAATTAGTTTAATGAGTACTTAGGTTTGCTGCAACAGGGAGGGTAAAAAAGTTTTTTTAAATGTAAAATATTAAAAGGTACTATGGTTTAGTAAGAAATTAATGTATTTTCCAAATTTGATCAAATTATGTTCATAAACAAGCAAACTACAACAGTTGACTTATTCTCCATAAGAATAACATGGAAATTTTAAAATTACAATTTTTTTGAATTTTCTCCGTAACAATTAGGCCCATAATAACGCTTCAATATACTAAATTATTTGTTTTTTTAAGCTCTAAAAAATGGTTTAAAAAGAAATTGTGAAATTTTGTGTTTTTAGGGTCAAAAATGGGAAAAACCTATTTTTACCCCATAAAACCCCCCATGAACCCCCGTTCCCATAGTCCGATCATGCTGGTTCGCGAACTCATTCAAGTTTATCCTGCCTTACACCTTCAAACCAAATTTTATCAAAATTGGACAAAAATTACTCAAGTTATCGTGCGGATGGACACATATATATATCTATATATATAGATATATAAAAATTTTAACGAATGGTGTTTTTGGCCTCTGGGGACATCAAAATGAAAAAGTAAATCGGTCCCGGGCTTAGGTCTTACCATGAGACCTACGGTAATAACTACTTCCCTATAGGGAAATTCGCTAAAACATAAAATTAGATTCCCATGCTACCTATTTAAATGTGAATTATTTCTTCCGTAGAAGAGAGACCTTTCCCAGCTTTCTACACAGCCTCCTGTTCACTCACAAATTTCATTGTAAAATTTTGGGCTTACGGAATTAGATATATAGGTAGATACTTGCACAAAGATCTCGAAAACGGCTTCGACGATTTTCAAAATCATAATAAGTCTCTTGTTTGTTTCTTTCAGTGAGTAGGCCTAGATCTAGTGTTGATTTCAAACTCTGTTTTTCTCACTGATTGTGATTGCCTAAATAATAATTTTTGTAAGTAACTTTTATTCAAATTTAATTTTTACGTCAATAACCCCTTTCCAAAATTGGAATGGATCTAACGGACCTAACGGAGTAAGTAGGCTATACTATTTTTCCAAAACTAAGATCGTTGAACGAAGAATTTTGAAACCAGACTTTAATTACTGTATATATTTGCTAATAGGCCTATTGATTGAATTTGGGCGGATCTTGCCCCGGTGCACGTCATCCACAAATGGTCTTTTTGTTCTCAAAATTATAGGCAGTATGCTGTAGCCTATTTCTCAGACAGATCATGAATGTTTCTTTTTAAGATTCCTGTTATATGGACCAGACGGGTGCAGCGTTGTACGCAACCAGCCAACTAGAAGGGATGATGCAGGATATGAAAGATCATTTGTACACAAACCCCCACTCCAACAGTCTGCCGAGCAAACTGTGTTCAGACATAGTGGACCAGGTGAGATACAGGTATTGTACGATTTGTTGTCTTTTGGTGACGGGTTGGTAAAAGTATTTATTGGTTATTGGTTTAAATTTACTAGAAAACTGTTAACTTTACTATTCCGTGTGTCCCAAAAGTCCCATCTCCCCCTATTAAAATTTTAATGGGTGAAAATAATTGGATTAACTTCTATGGGAAAGTGTCAATGACCAGAGGACAAGTCTTTTAGGCTAGAATGTAAAACAATCAACCCCCACCTGTAAAATGGGGTTTTGGGGGGTAAGTCAAAAATTTTAAATAGCAACCCCTACCCAGTGATACAAGATTTTAAAGGTATTTGGAAAATAAGAAGAATCACGCAAACTAGAGGTCTCTTAGTTCATCCTATCCAACTTAGCGGCCAATCCAATTGTAAATTTTATGTTAGTAAGGTTAATTGAAAAATATTACTCTGTTGAAGAAAGTGTTATTTCGTAATGCTAAACAAAGCATGTCAAAACGTTTGTGCATTCACTTTTTAAGCAAGATAAACAAGATTCAATGTAAGAGTTAAAGGGTTAAACATCATGGAAGATCGTAAACATTTTATCTCTGGTGAAAGGCTAGTTACTTTATTAGCTAACTAGCAGAGTACCCGTCCTTCGTACGGGGTTGGCATATAAGTGTAAAATGATTATTGCAGTTATACTCTAACTTAGCATTTGCAATGGGGGAGGACACAGTTTGATAAAACTTGCTTCTTTAAATTTACGGTATACTATAGTATTACACATCTACCATAGCCATAATGTTCTATCACTTCACCTAAACAATAGAGAAAAATAAATTATTAAAAATTCGCAAAAAATCAGAAATTATTCATGCAATTAAAAACATAAAGATAACTGTAAACAATCCTACTTTGACAGTTCTCATTGTCTATCACAGTTTTTTGTTGCTGCTTAGTTCAAATTAGCTGTTTTCATAAATGCAAATAAATAATAGTGCTGCACCCTGTTGGTAAATCTTATAACTTTTTAATACTTTTGCATATCATAAAACCAACTTTTTTAGTTGAAACAGCTGACTAAATTCTTTAATTCCCTTTAAATATGAATACGCATAAGGTTAACATGGGGAACTACAGAGCCACTGGGGCAGAGCCCGAAAGGATTATTGAGATAAGAATATGCCTATATGTTAATCGGGAATATGAGCTATCATCATACCAAATTTCAGCCCAATCCGTCTATTAGTTAATGTGTGATTGAACTTCAAACAAACACACAAACTTTCACATTTATAATATTAGTAAGAAGTAAGATTTACTCTAATTATTTGTTAGTTATTTTAATTAGTTAATTTACAATCAATTACGTTGTGATTACTTAATAATAGTTCGGTCAAATGAAGAAAAAGTAGAGATGATTCTTTAAAGTGAAGCTTGGAGAAATTTGTACAAGACTGTTCGTTTATTTAACGCTGCGTATCCAGATAGGCCAGTGGATAGGGCAAGGCAACTGGTTAGCATCGATGTTGACATTTCCAAAAATAGTGTATATAGGGTATTAAAAAAACATAGGTTTCTCCCATACAAAATCCAACTTCATCAAGAAATTAATGACGATGATCCTGACCAAAACTTCAGTTTTGCGAGGAGATGATACAACAGATAGAGAAAAAACAGGACTATTAATTACATATATCTCAAGTATGTTATACCATAGACAAATAGAATAAATATAGACCGTCAGCTGTACTGCGGTTAAGCAGAAGTTTTGGCATCCACCGCTAGGTTTACTGTGTAGTTATGGCGCACACCGCTGCAGCGTCTGCTGGTTGCATACGGCTCCTGCGCTCCCCGCCTGCAGCGGTGTGCGCCACAACCACATGGCAAACCCTAGCGGTGGGCGCCGGAACCTTCCTTTGACAGTCTATATTTATTCTATTTTTCTATGGTTATACGGATGAAATGTAGTTTTCTCTACACGGAACAGTGAATCGGTATAACTGTCATTATTGATGGAGTGACAATAGCCCTCACTGGATGGTTGAGGCCCATACCCAACGCCTACAAAAATTAAACGTCTCTGCAGGAATTTCTGTAGTAGACTAGATTTCCCATCACTGTTATATACATAAAACGATGTTGGCGACCATAACCTCTTGAATTATTCTCCAAGTGTGGGTGTTTAAGGAAGATCTAAGTTAAAACTACGATGATAAACAAATTTAAAATATAATACCCCCGTCGCAGCAAACCTGCATACTAAGCGAATTTCCATTCACCCGGCTTGATTTCTACTAAAATATTCCCTATAAATTTTCAGATTTATTTACTATTTAAATAACATTAATTTTAGTGAGCAGTTAGGTTTGCTGCTACGGGAAAGATGTTGAGGTGTGTTTTTTCAATTGAAATATTGATAGCTTAGTATGAAATAAGCCAAATTGCCAAATTTGATTGAAATATATCCATAAACAAGCAAACTAGAACAGTTTATTTATTCTCCATAAGAATAACATGGGAATTTTAAATTTACAATTTCTTTAATTTTCTCCGTAGTCAATGAACATTCAAAAAAACTTCAATATACTAAATTATTTGTTTTTTTAAGCTCTTCAAAATGGTCTAGAGAGAAATTTAGAAATTTAAAGTTTTTAGGGTCAAAAATGAGAAAAACCCATTTTTACCCCATAAAACTCCCCATAAACCCCTGATCCCATGGTCCGATTATGCTGGTTCGTGAACTCGTTCGAATAAATGTAGGTTTACACGTTTGTACCAAATTTCATCAAAATCGGATCAATTTTGCTCGAGTTATCGCGCTAACGGACACATATATAAATATATATATATATATATATATAAATATATATATATATATGAATTTGAACGGATGGTGTTTTTGGCCTCTGGAGACCTCAAAACGAAAAAGTAAATCGGTCCCGGGTCTAGGTCTTACCATGAGACCTACGGTAATAGCTTATTCCCTATATGGGAAATTCGCTAAAAGAAGAAAATGTGTTTCTCATCAATGTTTAGAAGACATGGAACAGATTTGGACTGACAAAACAGACAGCTGATAACAAATAAACAATCATATCATCTGTATAGTATGACTATTACAAATAACAAAATAAAAGGCAGGCATTTTCTACAAATGTTAATGTTCGAACATTCCTTGACCAGCAGTTTCCAGGACAATGGATTGGTCGACGTAGTGCAATACGAGAGTGGCCACCTCTTTCACCAGATCTGGCACTACCAGATTTTTTTCTTTTGGGGGTTTTTGAAAAGTAAAGTTTATGTGACGAAACCACAAAACCTTGATAACTTAAGAATAATAAGAATCGAAAAGGCCTGCCAGCTTATTATACCTGGAATGTTACCAAATGTGCAAGCTGCTTTTTAGTCCAGACTGAATTTCTGCCAAGAAGTCAGTGGTGGCCATTTGAAGCAATTAATCTGAGCTGCAGAAGCAAGGTAAGACTATTAGAATTTTACCAACACTAAACAGTTTGTATTGTTAAAAGGCCCGAAGTTTGTCTGATAAAATTCACAATTCGATTGGCCGCTATGTTGGATAGGACGAACTTAAATACCTCTAGTTGGCGCATCACTCAGTAGGGGTTGCTATTTAAAATTTTTGACATACCCCCAAAATGGAGTTTTGGGGGTGGGGGGTTGAATAATATTACATTAAAAAAGACTCATCCTTTGGTCATTGACACTTTCCCTGAAGTTATATCAAATATTTGCACCCGTTCAAAATTCAGTAGGGGGAGGGGACTTTTAGGACACACGGTAAGTCTGTGTTTTTACAATCCAAAAGTCCAATATGCTTAAGTGATCCAGTGAAGAGCGAGCTGGTCTAAGTATAACAAGAGGTTTTGGCCCCAAAGGTCCCGAATTCAAATATTTCCAATCACCAATAGGTTTTATATGTGATAATACTGGGGACCCTCTAGGACTAGTCTGAAGTAATGTGTAAAACAGTCTAAAATAGGCTAAAATCTAGAAAAAAAGCTAAAGCCAAGAATAAATTAAGGATGGGTATAAAATGAAATAGGCTACAGTAAAAGCTCGATAACAAGACTCTCATATGGATTTTAAAATAAGACTTCTAATCAAAAGGTCCGTAAAAACATGTAATTATTGGTAAAATAAAAATAACTTTTAGAGGATTTGAAAATGACACTATTGATTGTTATCAAGGGTGAGTTTTTATTTAGGACCTTGTTTCTTATGAGGTTTCACTGTGTACTAGAAATGGAAAGCTTTGTATGTGATTACAGCATTACATTATTTGTATGTTCATTTACCAAAGAATTACATTTCTTGTAGCCTAGGCCTAGTGAGTGAGTGTCCAAATAAACTTTCAGGGAACCTAGGGAGTAAAAGTCAGCTGTTGTAAACAGTTGTAAATTTTGATTATAAGCAATCGCATGGATTAAAATTATTTATTGTGTTAGGTTTTAGATGGTTTTAGCTTATTGAAAAAAGTCACTTTACGTCATAGTAATGAAATATACTATAAAAGTAAGTAGTAAAATACATGGCTGAATTATAAAAAAATCATATGTCGGGATAATTGAAATTAGAAGCCACCAGAGCAAAAAGGGGGAATGTAACAAAAATGTGAATTTGAGAAAACAGCGATTAAGTGTTTTCAAACACTCCCAAAAGAAATAATTTACAGTCCCAGTACGACGGACTGACTCCTTTTTACCCATTATGTCTATAATTAAAATTGTTATATCTTTGGACATTACACTTTCTCTCCCAGGTCAGTTTACAGACAATATAGAGCTTCTCTCAAAGCATACAAACCAGTTACTATTTAAAAAATATTTTTGATATTCTCCTTCTTCCCTTGGTATCTTCTTGTCAAAAATAGATATTCAACTAAGTTTTGAGTTTGACATTTTCTTCATTTTGCAAATCTAAATTTAGAATAAAATTATAAATATTCTATTTCTATGAAAAATCTGCTTTTCAATTATAATCTAGCTTATAATAATTATTCAAGAAGCATCGGAGGGAGCCAAATATTCTAATGATTGTCATTTATAATTATTCACAGGATTCTGCAACGTTTCAATACAACGACCGAGCACTACGATGTAGTCTTTACTTCTGGTGCAACACAAGCTTTGAAGATTGTCGCCGAAACATTTGACTTTACGAATAAATTCTCTTCCAGCTTGCACCAAATTCCGGGTACTATTTTATTTGTCATACCATTGACTGTCATACTAATTGTTATTAACTATTAACTGTTATTACTAATTGTTACTAATAACTATAAGAGAACGAAATAGTCCAGTATCAAAGTAATTGAAATGAAATGAAATGAAATGAAAATACTTTTTTATTGAGGCGAACATTAGGACCACATGGTCCTTTCTTACAGTTAACCTCTTATGTACTAAATATATACTAAACAATGTATTTTTATAAAACTTTTAAAACTATAAATAAAATAATAAGTAAAAACTAAAGTTATAAATCTTTGTCCCTAATATACGCATACACACACACATTCACTCTTTGCCATACCTAGGCCTAACGCACGCCATCCCACCAAGCCACGGTCATCCGATCGAGATAGTACGCCTTCAGCGCCGCCGTCAGTTGGGAACGGGATTCTATGCTCCTGATAGTGAATGGTAGTGAGTTCCAAAGGCGACATGCTGTTACTGTAAATGATCTATTATAAACTGTTGTCTTATGGTGAGGAATTTGGAGAGTTGATGAGCCAGAGCGGGTATTTCTTGCGCCTCTTTCATTTAAAAATCTAAAATTGATCGCAAGATAATTTGGAATTTTGAGATTGATGGCCGAATGAGTTATATTAATAATGCGTATTTCTCTAACGTCAGACAGTTTTAAAAGAGAAGAATTTACATAGTACGGTGTGACGTGATCATCTCGTCGAAGATCATACAAAAATCTTATACAGTAATTTTGAGCTCGTTGCAATTTTGTTGCCAAAGCCACGGCAATTGTCCACACTTTAAAGCATAGATTTTGTTTCAGTTATAATGCAGCATTTTAGTTTTTTTTTTATTATTAAGAAAATACAAGATTAAAAAAAATATACGTCTTTTAGAGATCAAAGATCCTAAAAACTAGGATAACGTATACAATAATATTAAAAATCAATACAAAAACTGAGCTACCTATTCATACACTTTTTTATATCAATCATCATAAAGTATGTTGTCTAGAAATGATTAGGCCTATGAAGTCCAAATTCTTTATACACTATTTTTCATAATTACAATGTTTAATTGTTAGTTGATGGTATTATCTTTACAATTCCATTCTATCTGACGATCCTACCAATGAATAAACTAATACACACTAGTTTTTGAATAATAACTATGGTGATTCATTTAATCCTTCTTTTGAATTATCTATTTTTTCCCACCATATACAGTAGTTCTAGCTGTTGGTGTTAGTTTCTATGATTATTTGTAACTGTCTCTTTGTGATAAAACCTTATCAGAACTGTCTATTGCATTCTGTTACTATCTGTACAAGGCCACTGTACTCTCCTTGTTACTAATATAGCTTTTTCACCACACTACGATGTTTTTAGTCGATTTTACAAACGTTTATTGGAAACCGAAAGCTACATATTGCTATCTATGCCAGCTGGAATTGTCATTTGGTGACCGAGCAGGTTTTTACATCCCTAGGACCGAAAATCACCAGCCCGCTTACTTTCTTAAAAACATTAATACATGAATCCATATCATTGCAATGGAATTGTTTTATTGTCACCACTACCTAGCAATATTATTTATTATTATTTTTGCTGATTCCTCAAATTATTTATTTACATAACTTGAGACACTATTAGTGTCCATTATTATATTGGTAATAGTATATACTGTAGTGTGCTGAAAAATAATGTTCGTACCACGGACCAAAATGGTCTTGCAGATCTTGATCTTTTCAAGATCTCAACTTCGCCTCGAACTTTAAAACAATCTCGTGCAACCTCAGGGTTTTTTAGGTTCGTGCTTGTAACTCTCTTTTATTACCAATTTCCTTGCTAATAGCCTATTTTAATTTGAAACTTTTTTTTATGATAATAAAGTTAGCCTTTGATTTCTTTTTTTACTAAATAATTTTATATAGAATTTGGATAAGATTGTTCTAAAACAAAAGTCTTTACTTGAATCAAGAATATAGATTTTAACAGCTAGGAGGCTACTCGATCCACCTCAGAATTAGGCTAATGTTCTCAAATTGTCCAACACTTAAATAGAATTGTCTGTAATAATAAGATGGAGATTACCAAATTTCTTCCAAGTTTCCACATTTCTTCTTGTTTAAACTATTTGAAATAATTAGACTATTGGTTTAGCTTTTCACTTTTTACTAGAAAATATTATAATATAAAAATCATACAAACTAGTTTTTACACTTTCATCAGGCTAGTTCATGATAGAAGAAGGAAATCCAGTTGTTACTTAACACATGTTTTTCAGCAACAATATATTCAGGTCTTCTAGATCTTGATGTTCACTGTTACTTTTTAGTCACTTAGGCCAATTTATAGTATATGAAATTTAATTTGGGTAAATTACTTTTTGAGATTTGGTTTGGATATATATATTTATTTTTACTTTAGCTTGTGTTTGAAATAGATTTTAAACATAGTATATTTTAAATAGGCTTTTAGGCTTAATTGACTGGTAATAGGCTATTTATATATTATTTAATTATACAAAATTTTATGAACTGTTGCAATATCCCCGCAGAAACTGAATATTACATGTAATATGAGGTTTCGATACACAGTGAAATAAATTTTGGTTTGAAATGTGAACATTTAATAAAAGAAGACTTAACTATTAATGAAGAACGATGGGTAGAACATGGTTATTGAAATACAAATACTTAATCAACACAATTATTGAATCATGAACAATATAACAACAAAATTATAACAATTAATAACATTAAAGATAGGAGAAGGAAGTACTATTGTTTATGTATTGGGGACAATGGGGTAAATATGACTTTCTCATCACTATCATATAGTTCATATGAGTTTATTGTTCCTTAACATCTTTTCTCACTTCACACTTTTCTTAATTAAGTTAATATTTCATTACACTGCAGAGCGTCTATTTTATGTTTTCAATTTACATATTTCTTCTGGTATTTAATTCACTTTGTGGAGTGTCTATTTTATTTACATTTAACTATTTACATGGGTTTAAGGTCTCTCTACACACACTTTTCATTTAATTTTCTTCAATTTAAAATTTTCTTTAAATAAACTATTATTTTTCATTCATATACTTTTGATTATTAAACTTGTATCTTCGGCTGAGGAAGAATATATCTTTTTAGTGCTGAAATGTCGTATGGTCCAAATGTCTTCTTATCATCTAGAGTGTTTACATTATAAGTTGAATGTCATAAAATTGTACTGATCTTGAATGCGCCTTCTTAGACTTCCTGTATTTTTACTCATATTTAAGTTAGGATTGTAATAGTTTGTTTTTATATCATTATTAATACTATCATAATTATCTTCATAATATTTATCATCATTATTTTCGTTCTCAATGCTTCGCCTTGGGCTTTGCTCAAATACAAAATTGCAAGTTATACCTTCAACAGATACCTCTCCGAACTTCAAAGTAATGTTATTATTATTAATCTTCAATTTAATAACTTTTTCTTTAAAATTAATCTCAAACTGCCATATATTTAATACATCATTCCCAATTATTAAATTCCTAACTAAGTTTGGTATGAGTAAAACTTGTAGTTGAGTTTCTTCATTTTCTATCATTACAGGTAACATTATGATTTTAGTTATGCGCTTAGATCGATCTCCCGTAGCCGTTTTAATATGTGTATTTGTAATTGGCAATTCTTCAAAATGACCTATGTGGTGTTTATTTTCTAGGAACCATTTTTCCGACATACATGATACATTAGAGCCGGTGTCAATTAGGGCATTTATCTTCAATTTATTAATTTTAACACTAATTTCTGGAAAATCAATTTGTTTAATCTCGTGGGAATCATTAATTGATTCATCTTCTTCACTTAATAAAAATTCTCTGTCACAACAGATAACATCAGTTTCATAACAATTATTTAATTCATTATATACATTTGGCCTTATTTTTCCGAGGGGATTTTCTTGCACTGAAGAGACAATTGAGGGAATATTATTTTGAGGGGAAGTAGTGTGTAGGCCATTTTTGCTCTCAGTGCTCTTTAGTTTAAATCCGACTTATGTGGTTGGTCGGTTTTATCGATTATGGTGGTACAGACTTGTCGTTGTTCTGGGGTCATATAATTGGGTTCAGTTCGGTTTCCGTTCCTAGTGGGATAATTATTTGAATTTTGTGGAAATCTGCCTTGTGGGTAAGGGAACCAGTTTTGTTGGTTTGGCTGGTTGTTATATTGTTGGTTGTGGTTATATGGTCGATTGTTTTGTTGATACTTCATGTCATATCTTGGTTGGTATGCATTTTGGTTGATGTTATTAGAGCGGTCAGGATATCTGTTTTGTGGTTGTGTGTTATAGTTGGGCCTTGGTTCATTTCGGTTTGTCGCTGGTGTATTGTGTGATGGGGGATGGTTTTGTTTATTCCGGCGATTTCCGTCTTTTATATCTTCACGCTGGAGGATCGATTCAAATGCAAATATTGTGTTGGCATTCTGTACTATGCGGGCATCTTGTATTAGTTCACTGAAGTGATCGCTTAACAATGTAATAATTTCTTCATCAGTCAAAGGTGGGGACATTGATTTCAACGTTATGACTCTCTCTATAAAGTATTCTGAGCGGGTCAGTTTTCCTCCAGGACGGTACCTCTCGTTTTCCAATCTATGCCGAATTCCACGCTGTACTGATTGGCTCCAAAATTTCATGAGAAACATGCTCTCAAACTCATCCCATGTATTAATATTACTTTTGATAAAAGAAAACCATCGTGAAGCGCTCCCTTCTAAACTCATCTCTATCGTATCGATTAGGAATTCTTTAGGGTCGGTTGTGGGACTCTGGCGAACCAAATTTCGACAGTAATATTTTTGTAGTTTGTTTAAGAACTCTTTGGGGTTGTGTGCTCGTCCAGTGAATTTAGGTACGTCTGAGTCAACATTAGTTCCGCTACCACAAGATACATAAATGTTAGGGGTGAATGTACTCTGTTTAACAGTGGCTTCGTTTTGTA